TGAGGATTTTTCCTGAAAACTTGAGTTTCTTCCAAAAATCCGGATTCCTCTAGAAAAACGCAAAGATTTAGCAGCAACGCGAACCAAAGTATGTTTTTATTCATTCATCCTTGACGTACACTCATCGAAGAGCTAAGTACAACAGTGCGTGAATGCATGTCTATAATACAAGGTAAATTGAGATTAGATTGAAAGATCGCAGATGTCGAATGTTTTGGTCATTATGCAACACTTTTCGAGTTGAACAATTATTGAAGGAGATTTGATGAAATGATCTAATCTGCTAAATTGCATGCGTTTAAATGGAAAATGCCGCCAGATGAAGTCACTAGGCGGCGCATTTGCCCTCTTTTAAATATATTTTTACACTATTTCCCACAACCCAAAAAAATTATAAAAATGCTACTAAATTAGCTCTTTAGGCACTTTCAGATGAGGTGATAAGAAATTTGCGTGCAAATTTTCAATTTTCAGGGAATTCACCAAAATCTGACAGGGAATTTAATTTTCTAAATCCTGTGGCAACCCTGAATTGTTTTTCATTTTTTTTTTAAAAAAAAAAAGTATTTTGCGATAGTTACTATAACGTATAGTTTCAGTATTTTCTCGGCTGTTTTTCGCTTGGATCAGTCTGACAAGGAGGGGCCGGCCCCCCGGTGAAACTTGAGAGAACTGGGGCCACGGGAAACAATTGTGAGAATTCCGTAATTATTTCATCGTCGGAGCCGGAATTGTCGGCGCTGAGTCCGGGTTCTCACGGCGCGGCGGTAGCGGTGGCGACTCTTGATAAGTCGACAGCCGCGCCGCTCGTCAAAAAATTATAATAAAGATAGCACGCAGATGAGCCCTGATTGTGGCCCCGGCCCCTTGGTCGGCGATAAAGGGAACGAATCGAAAACGCATCTGAAAAAGTCGCGGTTCTCACGGTTCCACCCGCGCAGGCCGCGCGCCGCCAAGCCTCCTCGCCATCGCTCTGGCGCTAACCTGAGCCCGAACGCGGGTCCTAATGAGTTATGACGACAAGTGCTCGGCGAATCGCTCTTTTAAGGAGATTCAAATGGGTCAGCTCTCGATCGCATTTTCTGAAACGGCGCACACTGGATCTAGAGTACCTATATTGAGAGAGTTTGGCCACTGGGGTTACCACCTCTGATTGGCTCAGCCATCTTAGGCTGAATGGAGCCCTTAGGACCCAAAAATGGCGGACGCCATAAATTAATGAAATGCAAAATGACTCAAAATGTAGTTTTCTTTGCTTATCGTAACGAGAAATTCACCCAAATGCACTATTGCGACATCTTTACATATTTTTAAGGCTAATCGTGTGCAATTTTTGAGAAAAATTATCGTAGATGTAGTAAGGTTGGCAGCAAGTGCGGTTGGTGATAACCGTCAAAAGTTGGCAATGACCCCCCTCCCATCGACAAAAACCAAAACAAAGCACCGCCATTTTTGGGTCCTAAGCCTCTCCATGGGGCCCAGTGGCCATACTCTCTCAATATAGGTACTCTAACTGGATCGCGTCAATCGGGGAGGTCGGACATGAAATCAGGGTTGCCACAGTCAGGGAAAACCGGGACGTGTCAGGGAATTTTAAAACGTCAGGGAAAACCGGGAAATGTCAGGGAAAATGACGAAAATGTCAGGGAAAATGTGATATTAACTTTCATTTGCTTTCTAGAATGGGTTTGAGATTTCGAACAACAAATGCCTGAAAACTGTTTTCAATTATGCACTTTTAACTTTGTTGAGTTGACTTGTTTCTATGAAATTAATAAAATAAGGCGCAGAGATTTTGAAACACAACGTTGGAAACACGAGGCCGGACATGAAATCAGGGTTGCCACAGTCAGGGAAAACCGGGAAATGTCGGAGAATTTCCAAACGTCAGGGAAAACCGGGAAATGTCAGGGAAATTATGTTAAATCACTCTCCTTAGCTTTCTAGAATGGGTTTGAGGTTTCGAACAACAAATTTTGCCTGAAAACTATTTTCAATCATGCTTTCTAAACCATTCATCGCATTTTCAATTGTCAGGGATTTTCACCAAAATGTGTCAGGGAGAACCGGGAAATGTCAGGGAAAATGACGAAAATATCAGGGCAGGGTGTCTACAAGTCCGGAATTTCCGGAAAGTGCGGAAAAAGTACCGATTTTTCAAGGGGGGCCCGGAAGTACTGAAAAAGTGCGGAAATTCCGCAAAAGGCCCGGAATTTTTTGTTTGTTTTTTGGTCATTTTTGTCTCAATTTGTGCGAGAAATTCAATTTTTTGTAATTTTTCGAATCTCGTCAATTGGAGGTACTGAAAAAGTACTAAATTCTTTGGGAATGTACTGACGAAGTAATGTAAAAGTACTAATTTTAGGCTAGCCTTTTTTAGTAGACACCCTGCAGGGAAAATGTGTTAAAGCACCCTCATTTGCTTTCTAGAATGGGTTTGAGGTTTCAAACAACAAATTTTGCATGAAAACTATTTTCAATTATGTCTTCTTATCTTAACCATCCATCACATCCTCAATTGTCAGGGAATTTCTCCAAAATGTGTCTGGAAAATCAGGGAATTTCAGTTTCTAAATTCTGTGGCAACCCTGACAATTTTTAACCAAAACTGCAAAGTTCGATGTTTAATTCGTCAAAGTTTAAATTTTAAGAGGTGCCTCTTGGAGAAAATCACACGAGGAAACCAACGGAACCACCTTTAAAATCTCCAAGTTTTGATTGAACGAAGTTACAAGCTTTTAAAGTCTCCAAATTTTGACCGGCTTCTCCTATTGACTCGATCCACTGTGCGTCGGCTATCTTAGCGACTACGCGTCGAGTCGCGTCAATCTCTGCATCTTGCATCTCGGACTCGGGTGGAAAAAATCAATCGAGTCATAAAATCGCCGTGCTAAGCAAGGACTCCGTATGATCGTTCGACCATTGGCAAATTTGAGGCATTGGGGCATTGGGTGCAGAAAGGGCATTTCTTGGTTGCGGTGTTTCAGAATTCTGAAACTTGTTTCATGACCCGTCGTCAGTGGTCGTAGCTCATCGTTGTGCGATTCCTATAGTTTGGCTTCATATCCTTGTTAGTGTCGAAGGCAAATAGCCAAATCAGGCATTTTAGCAAATGCCTTGGTAGACAGTCCAATTTTCAGAGGCCACGAGGTTTCTTAAGTTTTCACAGAGACCTCTTGAATTTCCTATAATTTAAGAGTAAAAATCCATAAAAATACAGACTGTTATTGCATCTCCCGTTCAAAAATGCTCCTCACATTTCTTCAACTGTCTAAATTGTGAAATATGTTTATTTTATTATGTGCTGTGTATTCTGAGATAAATGTGCAATCCGGGACTAGAAACAACTTATTTATCACTGTGCGAATGCACATTTCTATAGAGAATTCCACCCACATGATCAGAGCATTATTTTGTGTGCAGTTAGTAAAATGATCAGAATTTCAGTCTGAGTATGGATATATTTGACTATTTGCGTAGGCGTATAACCGAATGCCTGATTTGACTATTTGCCTTCGACATTAGTATATGACAAGGGCCAAATTATGAGGAATTCCCCCCATTTCCCCTCCACTTTATTTAAAGGCGCAAGGCACGCGGAATAAGTTGTTAGAATGAGCAAAGACCGCATGCAATTGCAAAAGGGTTCAGTTTTTTAGTGAGACGTCTTGTGAGGCCGCACAACTCGACCCACTCTCAAACAAAACTTTTGCTACAGGATCATAATGAACCACCAGACAAGGTACAAAGTTAAGCATTTTGGTAGCAAACAGTTCTCCTTCATTTCGTGGATATGCGCAATTTTACCGACTTTGAAGTCGAAATAGTTGCATGACTCGTTTTACATCTAACTTTTCTACCGTGCGTTAAAGTCTCTGAGCCAGAGCGGAAAAGAGGCAAAGCTCTTTTTCATTGTTGTGGATTTGCGAGAAAGTTTTGTCGCTTCATACTTGTGGCCGGACCTGTAAGAAATCTAGTAATAATATCTAATATCTCTGAATAGCTCCAAAATACCTCCCGGAAGAAAATTCCCGAAACTTTGAACTTGGCGTGAAAAACGATCGCTGGAAGCGCCTGCAAAACAGGAGAGATACTTCAAGCATTGCGTTGTTTTCCCGATATGTTGTCTCCAGCTCTCAGACTCGTGAACCGCGCGAATAAACCATCGATCGATTATCGATGTATCCCCATTTGAGGCTGTCGTAAAAAATAGATTGTCAAGGTGTGCGTTGCAAACATCCTGTCTACCGATTCTTTTCCATAGGTTTAAATGGCAGATCCATCGATTTATCGGAAAGCACGCGCACGCCACGCCACTGTAATGCGTCAAGAGGACAAGGTTTTGCTAGGCAAGGTACTATGTTAAGAATTTCGATACATGTTTTTTATCCGAAATTTCACGTAAAACACGATTCGCGCAAAGAAAATCACCGAAATCAACTCCTAACCAAGATAATTATCGTTTCTTGACGCGTGAATTCGAACCTCCCGCTCATGAAAACGCAGTGGTCTACGTAAGTCAAATCGCGCTGTAAACGTCACGATGACAGTCTCTGCGATATGAAAATCTGCCAACCTCAAGCTTGATGCTTTGGCTCAGCTGTAGCAAATTGTTTACACTTTGAACAATAAAGGGTGGGAAAGGAACAATAATCGATAGAGAAGCCTGCCAAAACTGTCATAAGGCGTGATTCGACTCACGTAGAGTATTGCGTTTCTTGTGATCGGGCAATGCAAATTTATTTTAATCAGTGTTAAGTAAAAACGTTAATATCTTAGTTAGGAGTTAATTTGCGTAATTTTCGATGCAAGGATCGTGTTTTACGTGAAATTTTGGTTGTGAAGCATGTATCAGAATGCTAAAATTCGTATCTTGTCTAGTGGTCCATTCTCCATTATTACAACAGTGGTTCGGAGCTTTAATTTTAATATCTGTGTAGTTTCAAAATGTATTTGTGATTATTCATCGTCAATTAATGCGGATACTTTACCTATTTCAGGCCGTCAGACGTTCTCAACGAAGCAAAGCTGATGAGATTGCCGCTAAACTCCGAGAGCAAATTTTGAAAAACTTGATCCAGCAACGGGCTGTTGGCCATGCGTCTGGCAGTAGAGAAGTCGCGCCGAGCATACCTTCTCATCTCCTCAATCAAAAAGAGGATGACATGTTTGAATTGCCACCTGTGCCTTCAACTTCAAAGGAGTAAGACTTCTCAACCTTTTCCTCGGCCAAATCAAAGATCCTTAAGCTTTGTAGAAGTTCATGCTCACATGGACTAAATTTTGCAATTTGGAACCATAAATTCTAGCCCGGTTTAAGAACAACGTATGTGCCATTCGTTTCCCTATGCACATAAGTGTTTCTCAGAAGAGCCAGAATTTATGGTTCCGAATTGCAAAATGCAGTCCACATCATATTCGTCGGCTCTTACCCTCAATTTTGAATTATTCGCATCTCGTATCACGCATCTCGTAATTTTGCAGACTGCCATTCGATAGGGGTCCAGAATCAAGATGTTCAGTCTAATCAAGGCCAGAATAGACTTTAGAAGAGGTACCTAGTCATGTCTTGAGTGGTAAAGATTCCATTCTAATTGAAAATGAACTTTGATTTTTTATGAAAAGGCCTACTTTTCAAGGAACTTTTTTTGACCTAATTATTTTGACTACTCCTGAATTTAAAAGTAATTTCGGCTTGTTTTGTGAGATATCTTCGGTATTTTTACCATTCAATGAACGTAGTACCTAGATGAACAAATTTACTTAAAGATGAATCTGAAGCCTACCAGCAAACCTTTACGAGACCTAATTGCTAAAACCTGAAAATATTTATCAGTATAAGGAACCCTTCCCTAGCACCATATATTTTAAAAGAAAGAAAACCACGTAAATCTGATAGTCAGGGGGCATACGTATTCCCGTGTGCAGATTCGTGAAGGCATATTGTGTGATACATCAATCTCTTCGTTTTGATGTCTAGAAAAAGAAAATAGATGATGGCCATCTCAAATTTCATACAAACCCCCCCAAATTCAAGATGGCGGCCATGATGTGCAGCTTGTTCTTTGATTTTCACACATTTGGAAGATTATTCCCTGAAAACTTGAGGTATGACCTTGCTTGCTTTTTGAAATAAAATGAAATGAAGGAAGATATTTTGTTAAAGCACAAGTGCAGTGCATACTGCATATGCCCAGACTTAAAACCTTAATTTATTTTTTGCATTCAGATGTTTTAATAAGCTGAAACCTAATTTTACAGAGAAGAACCTGAAGAGGAAGAAGAGGAGTTCAAACCAATGTTTTCAACAAATCAACTGCAGAAAATTGATGTGAACAGTAAGGAATTCAAAGCATTGCCTGCAGATATGCGACATGATATCCTGTCCGAAATGAAGGAGCTTAGAAAGCAGAATTCTTGGAGACACATCAATGAAATGCCTGATGTGAGGATTCTATTTTTGAAAATAATTTTTTCCTTTTTATTTTATCCATCATTCATTCAACTTCTTTTCTATCCATCTTAAAGCTCTGAAAATATTATGTTCCCCGAAAATGCGTGGTCATGTACTATGAAAAAAGAAAAAGAAGAAAGTGCATCAACATTATTGTCTGTATACTTGATTCCAACTTTATACATTAGTATCCTTAAATTAGTTTGTCTTGTAATGCATAGAGATGCTATATTGTCACTAGCAGAGCACTCGAGACTATCACAGACTTTGGGCACTCTTCAAACTGCCTTAAATAATAAAGAGGCTTTAAGTAAAAAATAACAAGAAGGGTATGGTCTCCGCACGATGATAGTTTTCTAGCAAATGCAAAAATATTTTATCCCTTTAAAGTTTTTGATCACCCGGAGTTATGTGTTCTTAGTTTTATATTTGATTTGTCCTGTTAGAATAAGATTTTTCAGCACCAGAATTTTATTATATTTTAATTTTTATGCATTTCCTTCTTAATTTAGTTATTTACCTTTTTTCTGAGTATTATTTTATTTGGTAAATTATTTTTTTCCCCCAGAGTGGTGATGACTTCTCAGGTTTTCAACTCGGAAGACTTATGAAACGGCGCAACATTCAGGTCTCTTTAGAAGAAGCAGCCAAGGAAATGGGCGGGAGAACACTAAGTTTGAATGAAATGCAAAAAATGTTCGAAGAAGATGGGATTATCACAGATGCAGAAGTCACTCAAAGGATTGCATCAGATTCCAGCACCCGCTTTGTTTATATCCCAGGTATATTTTCATTTAGCTCGTTTTTCTACATCTAGGAATCGAGCTTCTACAGTATTGTTACATTAATAATGAGCAATTTTTGTTAGGAATCGCTGAAAGGTGTCCACGAATCTAAATCTTTAATTATGATAGGAATTTAAAGTCTCCCATCAGATGTTACTTGCTGTGAAAGAACTTAGTATTAGACATGTATAATCAATCAATATGTTTATCAGTTAGCAATTTTAATCATGAGTTGGTAGACTTGCAGTAGAAGATCTTTGGATTCTTAATAAAATAACTGTACAGTACAGTAAATTGTAACTGTTGAGAAAACCATAAGTAGCAGAAAATATTAGGCATGGAAAGTTATTTTTGAAGATAGACTATTACAAAAAAGTCCTCAGTTACAAAACTTTTCTCTGTTAAAAATAATTGCAGAAATTAGTAAATAGAATGGAAAAGTGTACCTAGAATTTTGATGGAACATTGAATTTTCGTTCTCTTAGCCACTACTTTTTTAGGTGTGTGATATTTTTTTCTATCTTTCACTTCGACCTCCTTACCCGAACAGTCCAAAAGACTGTAGTATATATGATGGAAAATATTTTAAGGACTCAGTAGTACTATAGGTAGGGGTTTTTATTTGAAGGAAGTTGAAGAAGACTAACTTGAGCTAAAAGCAATTATCATTTACATGGTGAAAAATTATACGGCAATTTTTTAAGTTGTCAAAACATTAACTTTGCTCTTTTGTTTTCAAATTTTAACAGTTGGTCTTCAAGCCTTACGTAAGTAACCAATGACCTCAAGTAAATGTGTTTAAAAACGAGCTTTTTGCTTCTTTGCTTAGTTGTTTCATGTATGAGTTTAAATTTTAATCCATTCTCAACCAAGAATTGCCATCCTTGAAGCTGATTTTAATTTTTATCACATGCCTTTCTCACTTTAGAATATGAAAAATGAAGTCTATTCAGTTTTCCTCCTCTAATATGCTAATTTGTGAATGGCCTTCGTCATTTTATTTAATTTCTTTAAAACAAAACAGCTATAATGTTCGTACCAGTCATTGCCTTTTTTTTCTTTTTGCACCAATACTTTGAGGTTTGCATTATATGTGGGACACTTTTTGTCGTAAGAAGCTTCCTCCCCTCTTGAAAGTTGAATTTCTTCCGAATTTCTTACTTTCCTGGAAATGCTTCTGTGTTTACTAATGTTTATAGTTGGCAAATCCTTCGGTTTCCTTTAATAACTTAGATTGAAAAAGGGTAACGTGTTTTGTCCAGCTTCTGTTTGCACTTTTTGTCCACTTTTTTGTTCCCGTCTGTACATTATTTTTTTGTCAGCTTCTTGAGGTTTTAATGGACCACTAGATAAGGTGCGAATTTAAGTATTATGGTTTATGTCCTCCTATCAAAAGATGATGGAGAACACCATCTGCATAGCATAAATTACTGAAAGTAACTCCTAACGAAAATATTAACGTTTTTTAATACATAAATTCAAACTTCCTGCTCCTAAAAAAATCATAATCTACCACAGTGCAATCGTACAACAAACCTGCAACCTCAATATCGGTTCTACAGTTTAATTATTGTACGTTGTGTATGCTTTGAACAACTTAGGGGGTGAAAGGGGCACTGGTCAGAAAAAAAAGTAAGATAAAAAAAAATAATATCGGGGGAGGGCACTGCTTATTGAAAAGTCTGCCAAAATCGTTAGAGAGCGCGCAATTTGATTCTGGTAGACCAGTGTTTTTCATGTGAGCAGGAAATTCAAAGCTTTTTTAACCAGTGCTAGAAAACGTCATTATCTTGGTTCACATTGAATTTCATTAATTTTTGTTGCGCAAACGGAACCATGGATCCCATGTGATTCTTTGCGTGGAATTCTGAAGAGGAAACTTTTATTTGAATGCTAAAGTATTCAAAAATTAAAATTTTGAATAAAATATATAGAGATAAGAAACTATATTGATAAGCAAATAACTCCGGTTTTAGCTTTAAAATCTGATAAGATAAAAAGGTGGGAAGTCACTCATTGTTCCAGATATTTTTCAACATCCCAAAGTCTCCATGGAAACTTTTTTTTACAGTTTGGCACTTTCCCCTTTGCTTAGGAATAAATATATTGTATATTTGTTTAAAGACATTTTCATTTTATTATTTATGGTTTACTTTAAATTTGATCTTCTTAATGAAGTTTATTGCTATCATAAATTTACGAATACCGACCAATTTAGTTTATGATCTATCAATGGGAATAAAAGTTTTCTGTACATTTTCTTTAATAAAATTAATACTTGTCCCAAACATGTACAAAACATCTAACAAATGGAGAGTTCTTAAATACACGAAACTGTTATTTATCAATCTGTCAATATAAGTTACTTTTAGTCAATGCTTGTTGTAACAGTCTCTATTTTTTTGCTTCAGGAGGAAAAATTCCAGCGGAAATGCTTTTGAATGAACCTGGTCCATCAAAAAGTAAAAAAGATGACTACGAGGAAGATGTAAAGGAACCTGAAATGACGATCAAAAAAGAAGAAGACCCAGAGGTCATCAAAATGATAGAGGAGATTGAAGATGAATTTGCAGCGGAGTCTGACGAAGACTACATTTCAATGAAATCAGAAAGTCCAGAACCACCCAAACTGCAAGATATCAGTGATGATGAATTAACTCAAGCTCAAATTTATGAGATTCTTAAAGAAACCAACGGTGTTCCTAGTGCAGGTACTTCAGACAAAGGAGTCAAGCAGGATAAATCTCTAACCTCAGTTGAAACCGAGCTTGCCAAGATGTTTGCTGTTGATACAAAAAGCAAAGATGAACAAAGGAATGAATTAAATTTCGAAAACAAATGTGAACATGATGTCCTAGCTGTGTTTGAGGACGTTCCTGCTAAAAATGATAGCTCAAAAACTGAGCCGAATATTCAGATCCTTACTAATGCTATGGAAGATAAAGTAGGCTCCAAGTACAGTGCACCTGGTTCAAGTAATTTTGCAAGCACAAGAAGTGAGGTAAATGTGAAAAAGGTTGGAATCAGCTCGAGTACTGATTGCTCATTCAACATCTTGAAGAGTCCAAAAAAGGAAAAAATGAGTCCTAAAAAAGAAAAATCGGTGGTTGACATGTACGATGAAGATAGTAGCTCTAATGAGTTTATTGATGTAGCCGAGCAAAAATTAGCATCAGGGAACTTAGTCTCCCAATTTGATAAAATATCTAGGCAAACTTCCTTTCTAACCAACGGAGAAACTAGTATGAGCAGTCATTTTAGTCCAAAAAAGGAATTGTTGAGTCCTAAGAAAGAGAAGATGAGTCCCTCAAAAGAACAACCTCTCGTAGAAATGTCTGACAGCGGTAGCAGTTCTGAAGAGTTTCTTGAGGTTGAAGAGCAAAATGAAATGAACTCGTTCTATCAAAAGAGTAAACTCGATGAATTTGTTCAAGAAAGCATGAAGAAAGAAAAAGAGACACCAAGTTTTGAAATTGTGATTGAACCATCCAAGTGCCAAATAGACGATTTATTTGCAGACGTGTTTTCAGGAGTAATTCCTTCAAGCAGTAGCTGTAAAAAGAGCATCCAAAATTCCAGTGAAGTCAAAAACGTATCTGAAGCCAACTCAGAAGCTGGAAACAGCCTTGGTAGTAAAATTTTTAAGTCTGAAAACATTGACGCTGAAGATAGTGAGGTGTCAAAGGAAAATATTATTAGTTTTGTTGAAAACAAAGACTGTGAGACTAGCACAAATTTAATAACCAGAAGGGACAACTCTCCCTCAAATGAAAAATTGAATATCGAAGGTGATGGTGAAAGCAACAAAGTGAATACTGTCAACTCTGAAAAAGTAGAAGAAGAAAGCCAAAAAGTAGTTGTAGCTGCAACTTCCGCAGACGAAGGAGTTGGCGCCGATAACTGCCCCGCTAAATCTCTTTCAAAAGAGGATGATCCCAGTCGAAAAGCTCATGATGATGCTGGAACTGGCTCCCGTGAACAAAAAACCGATCCAGAGCTAGACATGCTCAGTCAGTTGAATGCACTTGCTAGGAAAAATTATGCAGCTCCTCAACAGAAAGACAAATCAACTCCTGCGTCAAGCAACCCTCCTGGAAAAAATCCATCTGAAAAAGGGGTGATCCCTCCTCAAGGGGAAGAGACTGTACCCATCAGTGAATATACGGAGCCCACACCAATAGAAGATGAAGGAGATGCTGAATCGAATGAGTCCGATGCCAAAGCAGCTCTAGAGGGAACATCCTCCCAATATTTTGATCCAGACACTTTGAAAAATTTACAGGTAATTTATTTTAGTTTCCCCAAGTAGATGTAAAAATATGGGGGTCAGTACAATCTCTAGATCTACCCTCAGGCTGATTATTGAAATTGACACACAAAGCAATCGACAGAGAAGACATAGGGTGAAGCGATCCTATTGGTGGAAGTAGGTGGTTGCAATGAACCAAAGACATAAAGATAGAGCACTAAAAGAAAAAAATAAGGCCACCTCTTCGATTGGCTAGAGGATCGGCGGGGAAATCGGGACAAGTTTGAAATTCAAGTATAGGGCGGGAACTGAATAAAATTGCGTAATCAAATTATTCTATGTTGATTCCTGATTAAAGTCACTTACCCTCATATGTTTTTTAACTTGAGATTATTTATGATCATCAACCGATTAATCTCATTTGGGAGTAATGATCATCTGGGACTGTAACGGCCTTTAAAACGGCGGGACCACCATGAGCAACAAAAAAATGAACTTTATGTGAGATCCTCGCTTTTCACCGAGTCAATGTAGGTTTATTATAAAAAGTCACCCTCCCAACTTCATTGATTGGCTCGTTTCAGGCAATTAAAACGAGTTTAGAGTAAAAAAAAATGTGCAAAAATCAAGAGGACAAGTTCAAATCAAATTTCCGTTTGTCTGCAGGGGTTCCTGCGGTCATTTACACACTCACATGAACTCAGAGCGCCAACCTGGCCTCACTTCTCCCCCAAGTTAGGTACGAGTACTCCATCTTTATGTCTTTGCAATGGACAAAAGTGATAAGTGCAACAGACAAGAGACCTTTAGTTAGTCCATCATCTTCCCTCAGTCCATAGCAACCACCCGTTTCAACCAACAGGATCGCTCCATACTTCTTATGTCTATCAAATTTAATAATCAGCCTGTCGAAGAAATAAATGTTTTTAAAATTTTGAATCAGTGTCTCAGAATGTCGAAGGAACCTTGATTCATGGTCAACTTTGGCCAAATTAGACATCAATATCAACCTATATGTTAGGCAGATAACGAGAGCTTGGTTTTACCTATGTTCCCTTCCGCTTCTAATTGAAGGTATCTTTAAATTTATAAAAAAAAGAACAGGAAAATTTTTCCATTGTAAAATATGCCTTTACTTTAGTGCCCAATTTAACTCAAGTAGACTCCAGTGTTTCTGTGAGGGGGAATCATGAATTAATGCAGACAAAACCTTTAATTCTCTCTTTTATAAGTTGAATTTGGAAATTTTTTATGCATCCATCATATTCTACATAAAATCTAGATTAGGAAATATATTTTTTGCTTTTCAATTTCGTGCCCTGCCCAGTGGCTCATAACTAGTGCAGCCCTTAGCTTAAAGGTTTCAGAACACAGTGTGTAATTATTCGAGATATTTAAACGGGATTCATTCTGAAAGTATTTTATTTTTCAAAACTTGCCCTAGTGAACTCAGAATTCCACTTTGTTGGCCATTAGTAATGGATGAGCAGTGCCCTTCTCTCAATCAGATGAAAGTAGTGCTGCATTGCCAAACATAAAAATACTAATTTCTTCTTGGAAAAAGGAGCACTTATCTAGTCTTGATACAACTCAAATTCAGAACTATTTTTTAAAACGAAGTCGTGAATCTTTTTTCAAAGTATGAAGGATGAGAAATGTTAATTTTTGTTTCCTTTAAAAGAGCTCTCCAAACCATGCTCTTCTTGCGGGTAGCACCTTCAATTTCTTCATTGAAATTTGTTCTTTTCTCGTTTCAGGCTGAATTGGAAATGGAACGGGATCAACTTTTGATTGAACGAGGAAGGCAAGAAAGATTAGCCTCAAGTATCACAGATCAGATGAATTTGGATGCTCAGGTTGGATTTTTTTTTGGAAAGATATGCATTTCTGAGGAAATGAGGAAAATTTGAGCACGCTTTTTCCGCAAAATTAACAAGGAATCTCCCAGAAACTCTCAAAGCTCTCAGGCTCTTTTAGAAAATATACCAGTTACTATAAAAATAATTCAAATTGGACTAATATTAATAAATTCCGTTGATATAAATATTCATGAATTTAAATTTATTAAAATTATTATTGATATTATTAAAGTGGCATCCTGAATTCGGTTTACCATCAGAGTATATATTCTACTTATTATTGATTTCTTGTTTTGGTAAAATATAATGAGATCAAAAGATGATATTCTTGGTCCGTCTCATTCCATTACTGAAGAGATGATGCCTGGTCTTCAAATTAGCATCAATATAGTAATTATTAATATGTATAGTCACAATTCTTGAAAAAAAAGAAGGTGGAAAGCCCCTTTCATTGAATCCTAATTTATCAAATCAAAAAAGAAAGAAAAATGTTGGATGTGCTATTTGCAATTGGCAATTCATTATAGACTAACAATTTGCTTAAGCACTTTTCGTTCTCAAAAGTGAAAAAAAACTTTGATTAATTGGATCCCATTTGGCTACAAGGAATTAGCGCAATTACAGTGTCTTCAAAATCGTGCATCTTCAATGTGATTTAGCGCGCTGTGGATCCCTTAGGAACAATTATGTTGTAAATTTTTTTCCACTCTAGTATTTCCCCTTGGGGGATCGTTGTAATATAATTCCTTTTAAAGATACCCAGATCATTGCTTTTTTTTTGAAATCCTAGCTTATGTGATAGTTAAGTATGATTTTTTTCCTTTTTCTGTCTTAGGAGCTCCTGAAAATTTTTGGTATTCCATACATAGTGGCTCCGATGGAAGCTGAAGCTCAGTGTGCGTTCTTAGACTCTGCCATGTTAACTGAAGGAACCATTACTGATGATAGTGACATTTGGCTTTTTGGAGGAAGGAAAGTCTACAAAAACTTTTTCGATCAGAAGAAACACGTATTATCATTCAGAATTGCAGAAATAACTCATTTCTTCAGTAAGTTTTAGCAAACCTTGTACCTCCAATTTTTTTTCCTGGATCACATACATGTCAGATGGGGTTTTCTTTTTTTAAATTATGAATTAACTCCAACCTTTTTTTACGTGTTACCTTCATTGTATGTAAACAACTGACAGAAAAGTTTCAAAATGTTTAAGTAAATCAAATGTAAGAATTCCTGTTGAATGTCTATATCAATTTTTGTGAACCTACACCACTAAATTCATTTTACGCTGAGGAGTCTGAAACATTTTTTCGTCAGTGATATGGTTTGACGTGTTTGTCATGGTGTGTTAAACCCATTATAAACCCAAAACTTTTCATGATAGAGGGGAAGAAACTCGTTTTTGTACAGTTTCCCCAATATAGATATGCTGTTTGGTACAACATAGGCGTAACTATTCAGGAAAGCACTTTTCGTTCCAGTCAAATGCAATATATGCCTATAAAATTTTGAATCATATCTTTTTATCACACCTGCTAAAAGAAAAAAATATGCAATCAAAGTTGAATTGGTTTTGAAGCTCCTATGAAAACAATTTCTGTTGAAAATATTCATCTTTATGTGTTTTACTTTCCAGAACTTTCGAGAGCACAATTAATACAGCTAGCTTTTCTCGTGGGAAGTGATTACACGCCTGGATTAAAAGGAGTTGGTCCTGTCACTGCTCTTGAAATTCTTTCTTTTTTCAAGGAATCGAATGAAGAAGAGGAAAGCCGAAGAGTCATCTTGTCTGGTCTTGAAAAATTTAAAGAATGGTTGAAGAAACCTGAGAATATCAGAGCACAGTGTGTTTTTGCCAACAAAATAAAAAATCTAACTGTGCATGAAGGTAAATATTCTTCCATTCTATGTTCAATGCCGCATGAATCATAAATATCTAAGGTCAAAATTGTTGAAATATCCATCAATTTACACCCTCAAGAGAAGGAAATAACAAGCATTAATGTGATGTATGTAAAACTAAGCAGCATCCTGCTGAATGAGACCACTTTGATATTTTTGCGAACCTGAGTGTTCGAAATAAAAATGTTTTGATACAAGAATATAATTGGAGCCTTTGAAGCTTGATGTAGGTCATTGAATTTTTTTGGAAAGAAACTACTAATTTTGAATCAAGCTTGTTTTCAAGTAAAATTTGCCAAAAATTGACCGTAAAAACTCAATTTTTAGCCCTGTAACATAAGTTCCAACTTTCTACGAGGCTGATGATTGAATGTAATTTTTCAACTTGAAACTTGTTTTTTTCAAAATTAGTGAAATATGTCATATCCCTCTTACTATTACTGGGGGCTCTAAGTATGCTTTTAGTTAATATCTGCTGTTTCAGTTGGACTGAGTATAACAGAAGTGCACCAAGTTGCACCATGGAAAAAATTAAGTTGAGACTAATTTTGAATGCAACTAATGGTAAATTTTCTCCTGTCAAAAATTTAAAGTCAAGGGAAAATGTTTTGAAAGGGGGAATATTTGTTAAACTTTGTCTATATCATGGAGTCTAATAGAGGAGCCTACGCTCCATTCTTCCACTGTTCTTGGATCCACCAGCCGTGAACAATGAACTGTCACCATGAAGTTGTACGATTTCAAACCTATCTTTTTTCAGTTGTAGTCGAATCTCTGTAAAATCATGAGTGGAACTTTTGATTTTTTGCTAAAATTGAGGCAATTGCTGTTAGGAGGACATAAATAAGAAACTTTACCTATTAGAAAAATCTGATTTTAAGTAGTTTCGTCATCATTTTTTCGTTATGGAATATTTGATGATTACATTTTTTTAAAAAAGAAAAGTCAGTTTGAAGTAAATATTTGAATTTGGTTTTTGTGTAGGTTTCCCAAATCCTGCAGTTGTGGATGCCTATTTACAGCCTGAAGTTGACGATTCTAATGAAGGCTTCTCCTGGGGCACACCTGATTTAAAAGCATTGGAAGATTTTGTCTGGGTAAAGTTTGGTTGGACCAAGAGTAAACTGGATCATCTTATGAATCCGGTGATGAAAAGAATATCAGAAAGAACGGTAAATTTGTCTCTTAGTATACTAGTTGTATCATTTAATTTTTTTACTTCATTGATAAAATATTATGAGTGAACATTGATTCTTTAGTTCCATGGTTTGTGCTGTCATGGAAAGTGCTCGATTTTGAATGGGCCTGTTGCAAAGTTTTGCTAGAGCAAAAATAAGAGTTATTCCTCATAGATAATGTCTAAAAAATCACGATGAGCGCATTGGCAATTTCTGAAATGCAAGAACTCCTCAAAGAAAAAAGATGGAATGACTCCTCTAACGAAATGTTCATCTGTCCCGTGGTATCGTTTTTGAAGAGGGAAGCTCGAAAAAACGCAAATTTCTTATGCAAATTGTGAAGTAAGGAGTGCATTTCAGACTTTGCCGATGCGCTCATCGTGATTTTTGAGACAATTTCTATGAGTAACAACTCTTATTTTTGCGCTAGCAAAAGTTTGCAACAGGCCCATTTTTCTCAAGATCTTGAAAGTGTTTGATTCCTTTTTAGTGATGCTTGTACAGTGCTTAAGCAACACTTATCGCAGTAAATTGAGATTACTTCGTAATAATTGTTACTGAATCGAAGTGGTGTATGTGTTGCCTATCTACAAATTGAAGGGTTCCATTTATTGCAATAAAATTGGAATAAGTTAGCATGTTTCTTTGCATCTTAAATTCCCGCACTCGAAAATGACTTGATTGATAGTTTAAAATCGGCATTTATTAACCAAATGTAAAAATATTTCTATTTCAAGGTAGAAAAATTGCAATTAGTTGCATCAGTGTGTCTTGACTTCATTTTTTAATAACTCTTTCTCTATTTTCCAGAATCAAACATCCATTGATCGATTTTTTCAAACTCTTCCGAGTACATCCCATGATAGAGAAATCAAAAGTAAAAGAGTAAAAAGAGCCATTGATCAACTCTCTGGTGAGGTGGATCCAGATGAGCCTCTTCCCAGCACCTCAAAGCGGAAAAAGAAGAAAATCGAAGGGGTAACATCGAATGCTGTTGGTGATGAACAGGAGGCAGGAACATCTGGGACAAGTATGGTGGTAGAACCTCCTGTCGCAGAGGGAACTCCGTTCGATGAACGCATAAAAACTCTCCAGTCAAAGAATTTACAAACTAAAACTACCAGAAAGCGTGCCACTAAAAAAAGTGTGGAATCCGTTGCTCAACCAAGTACCTCAAGTAGTCAATCAAGTAGTCTCTCATTGCCAAAAGAAACTGTTGAATTTGAGGAGAAAAATAAGTCTGAAGTAATTCCTCAAAGAGAAAAAGATAACATCGAAAAACTCAAGAGAAAGATGAAAGCCGTTGAAATATTTGCTGCATCTAAAAAAAATCAAAGAGGAAAACGAAAAAAACCGAATATGAGAAGGAAAGGAAAAATAGAGACCTCTTCCTATCTATCAGAATCTAGCGATAGCGAATAATGTAATGTAATTTAATGAATCATAAATTTTACATCGTTTTACCGTCCAATGTTCCTTACTTAACTGTATAATATTAGATTGGCATTTAATTGATTTTCTCATGGAGTATAGCTTATTTTTAACGCTTTGTATGTCAACAAATTTGTATTTATTCATTTTTGTGGCCCTGAAAAATCATACAAGGCGAATTTTGGCGAAAAATCGGAAACATTCGATATCCAGAATAAAAAAATCTCTTGCTCTAAATTTGAATGCAACCGCTTTCAATTTGATATTAATTGCTACTGTTAGTTTGCTAATGTTAAATATATGAGTCTGCGATATTTGCTGTGTACAGTATATACGTGGCGCTGTAAGAACACCCTTATATCAGACTTATCTCTATGTTAGACGTATGAGACTGACATGGAGCCCAACTTGTTCAGCACTGAAAAAATTTCTCTCTAAAGTCTAAATAGCAACTTCAGGGCTTTAGTCAATTGGTCTCAAGCTTAGAATTCTAGGTTTTTATTCCCCTCTTACTTTTTCCCTTCCCTTTATCAAATAGATTTTGGCCAAAGGTTCTCTAAATTTTACATATTAGGCACTCTTTTATGCAACTTTTGCATGGCGGTAACATTTTCGATTTAAACATATTTCATTAAGTTGCTTTCAACGGCTGGCCTGTATGGTATCACTCATTAAAAAATGAGAGTTTTAATGATATTACATTTTAAAGAACTATCTTGCACGGTTCCTCATTTTGTTAACTCTTTTATAATTACCATGTTAATTTTTTTCTAGTCAAGTGAGTGTTGTGCTATCGCTTTCACTAAATTGATATACCTGTACTATATGGCATTACATAATTTAACAGAAAATCATAGAAACAGATGGAAGAGAACAATATCTCCAGTTTGATTTGAAATTGTTTAAATTTCCTCTCATTTTCTGCAGGGTTAAGGCACGTGCTTCGCGACTGTAGTCATTAATTTTACTTCTAACAAAAACTTGGAAGTATTTTCTATTACTTAATTTTTTCTGAAACAAAGTTCTGCAAGTATTGACATATTTTTTCCATTATGTTTTCTTATAATATTATCGATTGAACCTCCTCCTTGAAAAAGGGAAGTCAGAAAAAAATATTTATTTTCTCTGCATGATGCCTCATTTTTTGGAGGGGTAGGGGCGGGGGGGGGGGGGGGGGGGGGTATTTTATCCCGCTTAAAGGATAATTATCTGTATATGCAAGTGTACGAATTCATCCAGTGTAAGTTTTGTTCCATTCGCTCAAATTTTCTAAATTTCTGCAAATCTAAATAAATCATTTGCAACATAGACAAACTCAGAGCACTCACATTTTTTTTGTTCCCCTTTGTAATGTATTATACTTTTTATTTTATTAATTTTAATTAAAGCAAATTATTTATTTTTCCATACTTATTGGCTTTTTTATTTGTCATATACAAAACCATCCCAGCATATTTTGAAAACCAAACAAGAACATGCGTAACCACTCTGCAGTAAAAATGAGGGGCTTGGAGGACAAAGGCGTGTAACGATGGTGAAAGTGCAGAAGTGTGTATCTCGGGAAACACGATTTTCCAGGAGAGAAAAAGAAACTGTCTACATTCCTCTTTATTGTTAGTAGAAGGGTCTTTATTCTTGAGGATATAGTAAGAATAAGATGCTTTTTCAGACTCTATCAGCGTTTTGAATAATTTCTCGAGCTGTTAGAAAATACGGCAAAAATGCCGAGATTCGCGTTTTCGACACTTTATCACGAGATAAGCATTTTTACAATATTTGTGTTTTGAACCTGTTGTTGGCGAATTTGGATCTTTGAAAGACTGAAAAAAGAGTATCACGCTTACAATTCCTTATCAGATAAGTTTTAGTTTGATCTCATAAGGCCGGTTATGGGACATTTCGTCCACGATTTTTTGTCTGCGCACCTGATTTTTCCAGTAATTTACGTCCACGCGTTTTTTCGGCACGGGAGTTGTGACCCACGTGCCAGTTGAGACCCAAAGTTAATTGGCCCACATGTAAATACAAACGACAATTGCTCATGACGTTTTTAGATGAAAATATATAATGTCTTGGAAGAATGAGGGTTTGTTTGTTTTTTTGTTTTGTCTGTTTGGTCCAACGGAGAAATATACAGTTGAGAGTTTTGGTAAAAATGGGGGAGCGTCAATTCTATGAGACAAAAATCACTATAACTCTCTACACCTCTTTGGTGTAACAGGATTCAATTATCTTTCAAGAAATTCCCACCTTGTTATACCTGAACCGATTATACCTGAACTCTATATTTGCCTCAGCTAAAGGCTCTTATTTTTCCTGTGTACGATAGGTATCCTGATTTATTTTGCGAGGAGAGATCTGTACTTTTAAAGGATGCCTGTCATTCTTAATACGTTCAATTTCGTATAATACTGTGCAACACCTCTGTTGTGAAATAGTTGCTTCAGCCGCCGCCGCACGGCGGACGGACGGCCAGCGCGCAACGCGCATTGGCGCCTACAAACCTAAGTGGATACTTCAAGCATTGTGCAATGCGTGAAGTATCCACTTAGGTTTGTAGGCGCCAGTGAGCCTCTCGCGCTGGCAGCACGCCGCTCCGCTCTGTTCGGCTTTAATATTTATACTCGCATAGTCAGCGTTTTTTAACTCATGATTTTGAAATGTTAGCACACTCTGCATTGATTATTCACACTTAAATTGATGGGAAAAAAATATGCATAAATTTATCAAAGGAGAATAATAATATAATGTATGTTTTTTAAATATTGGTGGTTCCGTATCAAATTTAATGATTTCCAAAGCACTTTAATTTTTTCTTTTACATTTTGTGCTTTTATTGTGCTGCAGCGAGGTGTACGCACGACCAAACGCTCAAAATTTGACGTATTTGACTCTAAAAGATCGATGTACAAATGGGTTGAAACTAAAGATTGCGTGCTTCTTGATTTTTTCCCTCTTTTTGTGATTTTTGCAGTTTCTGTTGGCACAACTACGGTTCATTGAGATTAAGGTCGCTTGGAAAAGGTTTTACAAATATTTGTCACGTTTTAAAAATATAAATGTTTTCAAAATGAAGTAATAATTTCGTAAAGAAAAAATAAAAAAAAGTACCTATACACAAATGAGGCATATTGTACATCGAATATTTTAAGGATAGAAATAAAACCAAATATTCACCAATGACAATTTAAAAAGATGATTCAAAAGGAGAAAGTAATAATATTTCATTCAGAAAATGAGCAACCATAACAACACCTCCTACATACATACATACATACATACATACATGCATACATACATATAAGGCGCTTTACAGCACTCCCTCGCGCTCTACGACTCCTATCCTCCACTGCTCTCTTTCAAACCACAAATCTTGGGGCATCGAGCACCTTAACATTTCCGCTTCAATCTCTTACCTCCAACCTTTCATTGGGCGCCCTCTGCGTCTTCTCCCAGGAGGAACCCAGTCAAGGACCTTCTTCGGCAACCTGTCACCTGCCATTCTCTGGACATGACCATACCAAATGAGTTGTTTTGTTATAATTTCATGCACGATGGTCTCCTTGGCATCCATAATCTCCCGTACCGTCTCATTTCTGACGTGATCCTTTCTGGAAATACCAGCTGATCAACGCCAGAAGTCTATCTCTGTTGCCTCTAACAACACCTCCTTCTCTCTCAATTTCTCATTTCCATATTGTCAATATAATTTTACATACCGACTAAAATATAACGCTTGGACCAAGTCACTGTTGCTTATTTTACGTGTGGGCGTAAACTACTGGACAAAAAAGGTGCGCGGACAAAAAATCGTTGAAAAAATGTTCTGAAACCATAAGGCCAGATCAAGCATTGTATGATTGGAAAATGACATTTCATCACAAGACACGTATTTCCGTAATTAGCATTCTGAACCTGCTCTTGATCATTAAGATCAAAAATAGAGTTTATTCATACTTAAAATTTGTTTAGAAGCTGTAGTTGATCCAATACGATGAGTCACCAAAAAGTGAATCAGAGAATTGGTTTTCTTGAGTATCTACACCATAGGTAAGGAGACAGTGCGTAGTCTCTAGAATACATTATCTCTGCGTGGACCCACAAAAAATTATACAGGTAATACTTTTTTTTTCGATTTTTCCCCCAACAATTTGGCATTTATACCATTAGAAACCTACAGCCATCTAGCACCCGTAGAGACCCGGAGGACATCCATGCTCCATCCATCCACGCTCTACGCCTTTCAAATGAACCAGTGGACTAAGTACCTTTTCTTCAATTCTGATAATTCACAGTTCATCGTCGAAAGCTCATTTTATCCGAGCAAAACGTATTCAATTCACAACCGCTTTTGAGTAAGTTGCGATCTTGTAAATGACGACTCTCTCAGTTTTACATGAGAATACGATGACCAAAGCAAGAAGACACAAAAACCACTATCTGAACCGAGCGTTTGGATTCTCTTTTTTAAAATAAGACTTACAGGGGGGAAAAAAAAAATAGTTGGAACGTGCAATAATGTTCTTCGATCATTTTTAATATTGTTGAAAATATCGAATTTTTATTGACAATTGTCAACGCTGTAAAATTTTGCAACGTCGTAAAAATGCGCAGTTTTGTGAACTTTTGCAACATTGTGAAAATCTGCAGTTTTTCTCGATACCTACTCGCAACAGTGTCGAAACACTCGCATTTTTGATGAAATTTTTCAAAAGTGAAAAATTTTACAACGTTGTAAAAATTCGCAATTTTGTGAAATTTTGCAACATCGCAAAAACGCCTTTGTAGCAAATTTTGGAATTCCGTTTAAATTTGACCCGGGGGTTTTTCACGATAACACTGCAATTTCACCGCGCTATATTTCGCGATCCATCTTCTGAGATTGCGAAGAATCGTCAATATTTGACCGAATATTGCAACTTCATGGGAGAAATATCGCGATTTTTACGTTGAAAAATGCTATAGGCCACAGTCGGGAGAATGATTTAAGGCTCTTGGGTTTCCAACTGAACTGGAAAAATATTGAAAAGTTTCTGCAGTCATGTGGTCTTGAGGTCCGAATGCCTTCAGACAGGAGGTTCATTCAAAAAGTGCATTTATGTTTCCCTTCTTACATGTCTTTCTAATTAAATCAAATCAAATCAAATCGGTATAAATATACTTTTCTAGCTTTTATACGAAAATAAACCAAGTTTTTTCTCCTCTTCCTCGCTTGGAAGCTTTCCAGCAAATAAGATATCCCAAGATCCCGGAATGGGAACGCAACGGCGCAGCGCGGCGTATTCTTGGCAATGATTTCGCCTTCAACGGAAAGCGTGGTTATTTGATACCACTATTCGAACGTGCGGGAACCCCTTCTGCCTATCCTCTCAATTGAAGGCGAACTGATTTGCTGGAGTAATTCGTTAGCTTACAATGTTTTCATTCATCTTCAGTGAGATTTTTCTCATGTTCCATCATTTATTTCTCTCTCAACTCTATTATTTCACAAAATTCTTTTTAGATTCTAAGTTTTTCATGAATTACTCAGCTTATTACCGAAGAAAGTGTTCAGCCGAAGAATACTAATTACAGTGAATACCAGATTTCACAAAGTGTCTTTTTTTTAACGTGATTGGAAACATACCTAAATCCTTATAATAGAGAAAATGCTCGACGCGGCAGTAATTGAGTTCTTTTGGCGAATTCATCAAACTACAATTTGATCTCTAAAGTGTATTTATTGTACTTAAATATATTTCTTTTCTCCAACACGTTTTAGCTCACCTCTCTCTGCTGGATACCCATCAAGAGTGTCTTTGATTTCCTGTGAAAAGCAAACTTACTTTCTTATCTTTATTAGGAACATTCTCTCAGATTCGTCGAAGAAAAAAAGGGTTTCGCTAAAATTTATTGGCGAATCCATAGAAATAATTTTTGAAGTTTTAAATTATAAAATTCGATTAGATTAATATCTAAATAACTGGTCATTGGATTCGTTAAGTAATGGTCTCTAATCTCTTGGATGCACGCATAGCTAGATGAAATTATAAATTATTTCATGTGTCTCTCATCTGTGTGATACAAGTGTTCAGGAGCCAAATAGCTTTCAATTGAGGACAAATTGAATTAGAATATGTTATTTGAAAATGATAGGTACCTAATTGAATATTTAAATCCTAGTAAACTTCAAAATAATCTTTCCTTTCTCAAAAATACCGACTATTTTATCGTAACAATAAACACATTTTCGGATATTTCATTTTATTCATTTATTGTATTTTGTACATTAAGCGGACACAAGTCGCCAAGAAAATCAACAAAATAACAAGATATTCGATTACTTTTAGTCTAAAGTTAGGATGAAGTGCTCAAATTGATCAAAATACAGTAGATTCCCGAATATCATATATGTGGTAATTCTGAATTGAAAGATTAAACCACAGAAGACAGTATGCCTATCAACGAATAATTTTTTTCTCAAAACACGTATAGATTAGAAGTGAACATTACCTGTTAAACGATTTTGTGGTATTACTTGTAAATGATTTGTCTAAGAAGATTTTAGAGGTAAATGAATGCATCGAGTTGCGCCACCCTTTCTAATTGTTTTCAATGATCAGTTTCAGATTCCAACTCTTAGTGCATCCGTGCTTTATACTAAAGAATCAATCAATGTCATTCTTAAGTGTTGTGCTGCTGATTCTTTAGTTTATTTCTCGAACTCGAAAATCTACTTAATTACACTGGTACCAGACGTAGCAGAGCATTGAATGATCAGGAGTCTACTGTATTGTTCGTTACATTGAAAACATGGAATTTTTAAGTGTCTAAAATTTTAGAAATTGGTCAAGGAAAAAATTGGTCTTATAGGAAATTAATACACTTAAGTAATTAAAAAATTTAAAAAAAAATCGTTGCAAATAAATATGAACTTTTTTTTGTAGAGCTTGCACTCTTGGACTCTAACTTTGATATTAAGGATACGAAATTGCACGCATTTTCTGTTTTTTCTTTTTAAAAAGAACTCATATTAGATTTCCACTTTATTAGAAAATAAGAATATACCGCCCGAACTTTGTTAGACTCTTGAGCTATAAAACTACTGCGTCCTACGCTCGTGGGGGATAGCTAAACAATTGTCTAAAGAGGGGAGGGGAGATGGCCTCGTCGACATTGTAATGGAATAATTTTGAGAATGATAGAGGTCATTTTAGAAGGTCGGCCAGTTATGAACATATTCTGAAGCTTTTTAAATGTGCGTTTTGTCCGGTGAAATTTTTAAGTAGTATTATTCAAGATTCTCCTCGTAAAAATGCAATTTAATTGCGGAGAGAAATTTTGCAACATTGAATTGTAGTTGCGTTCTTTGGCGAGGGCAAGGACGTATTGCCTCTGCGTGTAGTCAAGGTTTTCTTCGCGGCATATCGACGGCGTAAGTCCGCAATCACATATCGACGGTGAAACTACCAAACCACGTATCTCGGTTTGCGACGTCGCAGACTTCCTGTCATACTTTATTTTTTAAATGAAAAACTACTTAACATCCAGTCTTGAAAATTTCTGTGATTTTTCCTCTTTGTGCGGAGAAAATTCGGTGAAAATTTCAAGGAATGATATTGATTTGGTCGGCTTTAAAAAAATAAAATGCGAGCGTAGATTTTTAAACACCGCAAACGAGATACGTGGTTTGGTAGTTTCAGCGTCGATATCTCGTTTGCGGGTTCTGAAAATCTCCGCCTCTATGTTATTTTTTTAAAGGAGAACAAATTGACATGATTCTTTGGAGTTCTTGCAGAATTGTCTTGGCACAGAGAAGAGAAATCAAGGCAGTTTTAAAGAATTGCCATTGACGAGTTTTCCGTTAAAAGCATAAAGTATGACGGGAAGTCTGCGACGTCGCAAACCGAGTTATGTGATTGCCAACTTACGCCCAGAGACAAGAGACCCTCCACTCGTATCTCGGCTATTGTGGAAGCTTGTACTTTTTGTATTTCAGCATTCTACTCTTGACTTACCTACATGGTTCATTTTCAACACCGTGTTGACAGTTTTGTTTGGGAAACTTGTTTGGTTCATGACGTCACCCGAAGCTCATCATCCACCATGTAGGTAGGTTAACAGCCGGAAAAACAGTGATGACTATTGCTCCCTTATAGTTGTCCACAAGGAAGTATTGAATCCCCGAAAGTAAAAGCTTCCACCTGTCGCGAAGAGGCCAATGGAAGGTCTCCTGTCTCTGCTTACATCGTGGATATCTTCTGGAGGCGGTTAGGGAGCGCGTTGAATTGCTGCTACCTGACGGACGCGGCAGCTCGGTATATGGCGACTAAAACTGGGAGGAGGGCATGGTGGTTTGGGGGTCCCCCATGGGTGGGTGGAGCGGCCCCGGTAGCGGTGTTGCAGAGGGCTTTGTCGCAGCACTTGGTGCAGGCGTAGAGCTTGGTTCGCTCCCCGATGACGATGCAGCCGGGCTCGCACTTGTTGGTGCAGTTCCGCTCGATCGACCAGATCCGCTGCACCGACGTCGAGTTCTCCGTCGACGTCGTGTACGAATACCGCTTCACCTTAAACAAGAACAAAAACAAACCTCAAAAAAATATCTCTCAACACAAAAAGAAAACTTGTGAAACTTTTCCATCAGAGACTAAGAGATCCTTCTTTTCTATCTCGGCAATGATGAAAGCCCTGGTAAAAATTGGCAGTAGAATGTGTGTTCCAAAATACTATAGACCTAAAGCCGGCTGTAAGATTTTCAATAGCTTCTGTAGCCGGCTGTACAATTTATTATAGCCTTTTATAGCCGATGGCGATTAAGCAACAGCCAGACGATAAAGTTTATGCTAAACGTTACTAAATACGGATACTAGGACTTAGTTAGTTTTTGGACTACCGCTCTCTTTTTGTGCCGTATCTTGATTTATTTTGCGAGGAAAGCTCCGTACTTTTGAAGGATAATATGTTGTATATATGGTCATATGTATATATGTATAATAGGTCATTCATAATATGTTGGAGCGCCTTCAATTTCTTATGATACTGTGCAATACATCTGGTGTGAAATAGTTGATTAAGACGCCGTGGCACGCTGCGGCGCGGCGGACGGGCACAGATCGCGAAACACGCATTGGCGCCTACAAACCTAACAGGGATACTTCACGCATTGCGCGATGCGTGAGGTATCCCTGTTAGGTTTGTAGGCGCCAGTGCGTTGCCGCTCCGCTTTGTGTTAGGCTCTAATAATTAATCTCGCGGATTCAGCGTTTTTCAACTCATGATTTTGAAATGTTTGCACACTTTGTATGGATTATTCTCAATTTAATGGATGAAAAAAAAATATGTTTTAAAGGAAAATATAAAGTACGTTATGTAAATATTAAGGTAGTTCTGTATCAAACTTAATGATTTCCAAAGCACACGAATTTCTACACAGTTTCTTACAGCCTTTTACAGCCAATGGCGATAAAGTGTAAAACCCGGCGATAGGAACTATAGCCCGACTGTATACTTTTTTATAGCTTCGTATAGCCCGGCTATATGATTTGCTCCGCTTTCTACAGCCATGCAGCTATATGATTTTCAATAGTCTTCTTTGGTCGGCTATAAGAACTCCTATGGTATTTTGAAACGCAGCTCCTATCACCAATTTTTACCAGGGAGCTCTCATGGCGGTCGTCTCTGATGACGCCATTGACGCTCTCCTCTCATGACGTCACGGTTAAACTTCAAAACCTGAATGGACGTATTTCTGTCAATCAGAACTATGCGCAGGGGGAAAGATGGGGTGTGCTCGTTAGTGCTAGGGCCATAAGAATGAATGGGAAATATAAAACGCCAGTGACGAAACCGCCCTCGCGCTTCTCCGGCGGCCGACTAACTCATGAGCCCTGTCCACAACGCTCTAAATACATGCCCTCTGCACATCGTTTCGTTTGACAGAACGTGAGAGCTCGCTTTTCCAATTCAGCAAACGGAACTGTGAGCCAACTGAGTGCGCCACCCATGAGCCGTGGGCATGTATCTAGAGCGTTGTGGACACGGCTCATGACGTCGCTCCTCTGACGTAAGGGCGCATCTCCATTTCCGCATGAGCCCTAGGAAACATGGATTTATATGTGAAACAGGGCTCACGTGGAAATTAAGATACTCCCTTACGTCAGAGACGATGAGAAGTCGGCCGCGGGAGAGGCGCGGTGGAGGCTTTGTCATTGGTGCATTATAATTCCCGCATTCATTCTTATGGCCCTAGCACTAACGAGCACACCCCATCTTTCCTCCGGCACATAGTTCTGTTTAACAGAGATACGTCCAAATAAAGCCGGATCTTCAAAGTTTTTGGTTGAAATTGAATTGTAATGTTGTCATGCAACGTTACCGGGTGGCAATATCGCAAAAGGTCACACAAGTGGACCGAGTTTAACAGAAAGGAACCAAGCCACATCAGCTATTGCCAAATTTAACGAGGCAATTTAATTTTTTACAAAAGAAGGTTTGTGCGGATTCCTTTGAAAATTTCAGGGAATTTGCTTTGTACTGTGCAGAAAATTCACTGAAATTTGCACGAAAATCCGCACAACTGTTTTCATGGAAAAAACAAGCAGTGAACTCCAACACAATGTGTTGATAAGGCGCGTCATTAACTCGCACATATCAACCCCTTTAGTTTTCATTTACAGAGATTTCAAAATAGGCAAACAGCATAAAAAGAGAATTCACGATCCAACACTGCGAGGTCAAAGACGCACCTTGACGAGACCGTGTATTGTGAAAGTAGAAAGCTATTCGATCGAATTTAAGTTTTTTGATCTGCCTCAAGCAAAATCTTATCAGATTCTTGAAGAAAAGTGCTACGGAATAATTTAAGCGAAGAAAGGAAAAATTCTGTCGAACTCCTAGAAGATAAAGTCGATTTAAAGGTATTTTGGGGCTAAAATACCCAAATCACCGGTAGTAAAAATCCCGTTATATTATTGAAAAGAAATTGACTCGATATAAATGCAATTGCATTAAATACGTCTTGATTTTGTTATTTTAAACGTCTTTCCATGCAAAGAAGTTCAACCATGTCGTTGCTTTATTCATTCATGAATTGAAAGTAAGCAATCTACATCCCGAAAATCTACTGATTTGCCGTAAAAAATTGCAGAAACTTGATATACCAGGTCGATGCACCCACTCGTTGAATTTACCAACCAATTTTGTGAGTGCAAATGTGTAAGAATCAATATGCTATAGTCATTTTGGGTGCATTTATTTTTCATGAAACAATAATAATTTCAATCCCGAAAAACCATCAATTTTCCGTATAAAATCGAAAAAATCAAAATATGTCAACTCCCCGACGTGAAAATTAGATTCTACGTATGTAAAATGTAAATACTTATGTATCGATATGCTGAACAGAACTATGTGTGGACAGTCAGAAGCCCGCGGCAACATTAATTCAACAGAAAAACTGTAAAAATTAGATAGGATTTTAGCCGCTTTGCCCGCCTCTCCTCGCTACTTACAACAAACCGTTCTTATACTCATCTCAAAATTTTTCTCAGAGCTTTGGGTTATTATCAGCTTCCATTTAAACTCCGGTTCGATGGCCGAATCGGCTGCCAAAAAAGCAAGCCACTGTTGAGGGGTTCTATGAGAAATTCGTGATATTATCGGCTCTCAGGAAATCACCCCATGGCTAAAATTGGTGGTATAAATGTTTAAGTGCTTAAAATAATCGTATTCAAGAAACTAAGGAATTAAACTATGGAGTCAATTTCTTTTTAATAATATAACGAATTTACTACCGGTGATTTAGCTATTATAGCCCCAGAATACTTTTAAAGCGCCTTTGCGTTCCAGAATCTCGACGGAATTTTTTTTTTTTTTTTTTTTGCTTAAACGATTCAAGAAACATTGTAGTTAAAAATATAAAGATTTTTCGATTTGGACGTATGAAAAATGTTTAACTCGTTCAGGCACACCGTGTATTGTATGGAGTACTGCTGTTATTCGACCGTTGTCTTCAGGTCAAAATTCTTACAAAGAAGCCCCTTGCAAGAGGCAAATTTTTTGTAATTTCTCCCAGTTTTTTCAGCGTTAGGTATATAAATGAATTGTTTGTCAAATTTTGAGGTCAATTATATTTAATTGTAATTTATACTTTCTTTTTTTCCCCTTCATTTTATTTTTCGTATCGAGGAGTCGAGGTTTTGTTGATTTCTTCGGATTTCGATTACTGTAACTTCTCTTCTATTCGGCCGATTTTTATGAATGAGGTCTCTTTTTATTTGTGTTTTAACGGAGAGTAAGGAAAAAATTGCTAAATACATGCGAAACAATTTTTTTTGAAAATTGGATGAATCCTAGCGTGACGGTGAAATGGTTAATGAAGCGTGAGTAATTGGGGTACGGGTATCGGCCGCGTTGGGACCCAAGGCCCATTGTTCTTCGTGACGCCGACGCAGTGATCAGGAGCGTGGGGACGAGAGGGCTTAGTGGACTCCTGTATGAGCCACGTTTAGCAAATGGTCTAATGAGTCTCGAGGCTCATCACAGATTGCACTTACCACTATCCTGGTGGCCCCGGCTATCAGAGCAAGGAGTACCAACTTTTGAAAAGGATAACAGTGTTGTGGAGATATGTCAAAGCAACGTTGTGAACAAAACGGAGTGAGTGAAATTCTCATTCAAGGAGTGCCGAACTGGTCAGCCATCCTCGAATCAGTTCGCTTGCTTCCGCTTATATATGCATATTTTAAATCAGCGCGCCCCATTCTAAGGTTTTTTTAAAAAAAACCAAGAAACGTAGACTCTTGGTATTCATTACACATAAACTAGCGAGCCCCAGAATGAGAAACAAATTTTAATCATTATTATTGACGGATTAGTAAACTTTTTACACGCTTTGGAAAATCTCAGAAGTTCGCGGTAGTCACTTTTCGGTAAGGAACTAGGGGACTCGGTTATTGTATCGAGGGGGGGGGTCGAAACGATCGCAAAGGCGGTATACTACGTATACGCGCCAATTAAATCGTCTGGTTAAATTTGGCAATAGCTGATGTGGCTTGGTTCCTTTCTGCTTAACGCGGTCCAAGTAATCCACCACCGTATGTGTAAAGTTAACGGACAGGCGACAAATTAGGAGGGCGGGTCAAGCCGGACGTAAAATTGAATGCTCTTGAAGCAAAAGGTATGTGGGGAAAAGAAAAACCGTGACATTTTCCAATTGTTCCGTTAATATTTGGACGTATTCCTATCAAACAGAACTAAGCGCCATAGGGAGAGGAAGGTAGTGGGGGGGCTTGAATTGGCGGCGGATCCGGGCGTCAAGCTCATTCCGCCCTATACTCGCAATGCTTTTCCATGGCGCTTAGTTCCGTTTGACAGAACACGCTATCCGGCATTCTCAATACTTCAAAAGGAACTCAAATTGGCGCTTAGTTTCGTTTGACAGAAATACGTCCATTTGGCATTACTCGTAATAGTTGGTACTCACGATGCACATTTTCTTATCGCCCTTGCACTTGCTGACAAAAGTAGAGTTATCCCCAATGGACAGGTTGTTGCAACCTGGGCCGTTCCGCAGAGTGTTGCACTCGTAGCACATCAAATCGTTGCCTCGCTCCATCGATGCTGTCGTTTGATGAATGAGTCTTGCCAGTAACTCCTCGTCTGCAACAGAAACCCGGACCGAAAACCCTCTGAAATATGCTCAGCTTGATTTATTTCCGTCCATTAAAAACGGAGACTTATAAAAAATGCAGTACTACAGAGAAAACAAATGTTAAGATGGGATATGTATGACAGAGGCGGATCCCTTCGAATGGGGGAAGGGGTAAGGGGGGCCCAGCCTCCCCCGGAAATTTTTGCAATTTTAAAGCATATAAATGCATGGTTTGAGTCAACATTTTGTCATATGTAAGTACAAAATATAAGCGTCCTTCCAACTTCTGTTCTCCGTTCCTTCCATCTTTCTTTCTTTCTTTCATGGCCTTAGATGCTAAAGCACCGCTTTAAAATATACATTACTACTACTACTTCCCTTTTTCTTTCAGACGTCAAATTGAAAAAAAGAAAAAAATCGAGTGTCAACACAGCCGAAGATGGGTGACGTATTGGGGCCTCGTTTTTCAACTTATCTCCCGAATCCAAGCGACTCCTCATGGGCAGCATAGAGCGGAGCATTGCTAGTTCTCAGTTCACGCCTCCCCCCATCGCGCCTTCAATTTCTCAGATGCAACACGGACATCCATCAGGCACGAATAGTCGTATCCTCGCGCCGTCATCAGCGTGCTTTCTTTCCCTTGCTCTATTTCCACTTTGCGTTGGTCCTGTTTGTCTTATTTTTATTGGTGATTTAAGGGCACAAAGACACGGGATTTTTAATCGGGCCTCATTTTTTCACTTTTCTCCCTAATCTGAGTGACACCTCATTGGCAGGATAGAGCGGGCCGGCTCACTGCAAGTGTACACTTCACGCCATCGCGCCATCAGAGCTTTGAAACACTTTAATTAAGTTTTGCAGTTTTCGACGTCCGCCATCGATTTAAGTATGGTTTGTATATTTCTATCTTTTGCCTCGATGGCAGATGTGCGTATTTCTTCAATTTAAAACGTAATAAGATGAAAATTCCTCACCACTTAAAGGAATATAAATTAGGATTATGATAGAAGCCAGGATCCAGACCGGAACGAGTCTTTGGCTCCTCATCCATGTCCACTGCCAGTGCATCCCTTTCAAAGTTAAAATCTACCCAAACAAAAGAAAGAAATAAGATTAAAATTAAATGCATGAAGTGCAATAAAAAAAGAATAAAAAACTTTCTTATGTATAAATTTATAATTTGTTCAAGACTGAATCTAGGTTGAAGTACCCATATGGATAATTGGTCAGTATCGTGCAATCAGGAGAACATGACTTGTTTTGAAAGAATGTAAAATGAACTTTAAGATGCTCTCAAGTCCGTTTCATGTGCATTACGAATTCCTCATCAGTTGTGGCAAACAAGGCTTGTTGCGCTAAATGCGTGATTTTAGAATTTAGCCGTTAGTTATATTTGGACCGCGTTAAGCAGACAGTAACAATTTAATTTTTTACATGAAAACGGTTGTGCAGATTTTTGTGCTAATTTCAGTGAATTCCCTGCATAGTGCGAAGCAAATTCCTTAAAATTTTCAAAGGAATACAGACAAACGTTCTCTTGTGAAAAATTAAATTGCTTCGTTAAATTCCGCGATAGCTGCTTGCTCCCTTTCTGCTAAACGCGGTCTATTTAATGGTAAACAATGAGACTCCTGGAAGGTTTATCGTATAATCATAATTGCGTATGCTTTATTTACACGATAGGTATGATTGAAGTATGCGTACTTAAAGGATAAATTACGCATAACGATGCAGGATCGCAGGGGAGTGCCTGCACTTTCCAGATTCAGAGATGATTTTTTACGCGTTCAAACATTAGTGCACATACAATCCTTGGCGAGCAACTGAGAGTTAGAACCGCAGCTCAACTTACTTGACACTGATCCTCGGGGATAATCGTCAAGGGGGTTGTTCACTCCTCCGAAATCCGTCCAGCCTCAACCCGCGGCACCTCCACACATCATCACATCACACGAGAGCTTACATCCTAACTTCGCACCACACAGAAATTCGTCCGGTTTATTTTCTTGAAATATTCATTCAACCAAGCGAGGGCAGAGCTCACGAAGGCACAGCATCCCGTGTTTTGCTGACGTCATCCGCAGCATTCATCCCGCAGGATAGCACGACGCAATGCGCTTGTCGGGGTTAGAGGCTAGGTTAAGTTTCGTCGCAGCTGCGTCCCGAAATCCTACAGAGCGAGGGG